CGAGTCCGGCTCGACAGGCGCGGGAGGCATGCCGGCGGTGGACGGCGGTAAGGCGGGGTGAGGCCGACGGTGGAGGGCGGCAAGGCGGGCCACGGCCGAGGCCGACGGTGGAGGCCAAGGCGAGGCTAAGGCGAGGACGGCGGTGGAGGGCGACGGAGGCGGCGCGGCGCGGGGGGCGGCGCTCCTGCACGCCGAGGCGCGGCGCGAGGCGTGGGCCATCCGCTGGGGCACGGCGCGGGGCAGCCTCGGGGCGCGCGCGCGGGAGCAGGCGCGGTGCGGGCGAGGGCGACCGGTGGAGGCAAGGGCGCGGGCGGCGGTAGCGGCGGCGAAGCTCGGCTAACCTAGGGCAAGAGAGGGAGAGGAAGAGAGGAAAGGCGCGGGCCCAATAGGTATTAAAGGCACGGCGCCAGCTCAGCGCCAAGATCTACGGCGCCAAACTCGGTGCCAAGATCTACGACGCCGAGCCCTCTAGCAGGTCATCCACCATGCCCAGGAGCTCGACACCAGAGACGCTGGTGCCTAGCTCGGCGCCAGCATCAATGACGCTGAACTAAAGGTCTATTTTCTGAATTATTTCCGTCGGGGGTCTATTTATGAAAAACTTTCAAAAAAAATGGCTAAAATGTAAAAAATTCGGGACTCGGGGAGCACGAACGGGTCGCAGATGGGTCCCTTCTCTGATTTGTGCAATCATATGGGCTAGCTACTTGTTGGGCCTTATATAAATGGGCTTTGAGGATCATCACTTCAGCAGAGCTAATGGGCTTTATGAGTTGGAAGGCGTAGTTCTAGAATGACGGCGTATTCGTAGCGCATCGCTTCCCCACGAACTCACGAAGGCGAGGTGAGAAGAATCAGTTCCATCTCTCTCCGTCTCTCGTTTGGGAATTGGGAGGACGACGAGGAAGAGGAGGCGCGTGCCGGCGCCCGACCGTCGACTAGCCCGCTACGACGCGGCACCAGGATACGTGCTCCTGAGCTACGAATCCACACACACGGCCAATCCGCTGCGTGCGCCGCGGCCTTAGCATGAGGTGGCCGCTGGCGATCTCGAGTCGCCGCCGCCCCCTCCTGTTCGTCCTTCTCGTCGCCCTCTACACGATTCCTGGTGAGATCTGGCTCGTATCTGTTTGTTTCGGGGTTAAGGAATTTAGTTTGAATGTTTTACCGTCAAGGAGGGTTGACCAAATTATTTTTACCGTATTTTTTTCGATTGAGAGTGATTAGATGGGAACTAATCATTTTCCAGACATATTATTATGTTTTTCCCAATGTATTTGTGGCCACTGACCAGCGAAAGAATTGGCCGCTGGGTAAGGTCTGAGGTGCAATTATCATAGGGGAAGGACTGAAGGAGATTTAATGATTTTATAGACTCGTGAAATAGAAACTGCTTGTAGCAATAAGTGAATTTTGTCCTGCTAGGTGCCTCGATGATTTATTACTATAGGATCATCAGTGTGAAGATTGAAGGGGGCAAATGCAAGCAAAAGCGTAGTGCTCATTATGAAACATTTCAAAGATGGAACGAAAGGATCATCAGTGTGAAGATTGAAGGTGGCAAATGCGAGCAAAAGCGTAGTGCTCATTATGAAACATTTCAAAGATGGAATAGACAATGGGAAAGGCCACGGAACAGTTTGGGGGATTCTTTTGGTTGGTGTTGGATCTATCAATCTAGAACAATCCATACTGTGGCCCATTTTTGGGTTCAGCTTCACCCTGAAGGACATAGTTCGCTTGGGGTTCAGAAGTTAGGAAATATACTGTGTTGTTACGTGCACAATTTGTGTTTGTTATGTAACCCAAGAACAATCTTGCTTACATGTCCTGTATTCCTGGAGATTGATTGTTTTAAATTTTTAGAACTCAGATCCCATGTTGTTGACAGTGTCAAGTGTCAACAAAGATTTATCTCAGCCTACCCCAACTTGCTTTTCAAAAATTTTAATGACTTTTCTATCTTCACTTCATCAGGAAACCAAGATTGGTATTTTTGCATTGAAGTAACACAATTTTATACCTTTAGTGCCCTACAGACACCAAACTAAGCTAAATGATTCTCATCTGTCTGCATTTTAAGTAGTTTTTCAACTACTATATGGTGTAGTTTCATATTGCTTACCATTAGTTTTGCTTGATTGAAGTTGATTGTTTTAGCAAATTTAAGTAACAGAAACTAAGCCAACTGGTTGTAACTTATTTTATCTTCTATTGGTGTATTTTCATCAAAGATGTCAGTGTTTTATTCTAGTTGATATTTTGAATTCTTCTTAGCTATAATTGCTAGAATGGAATAGATCAATAGATGTGCGAGATCACATTTCACAAGCTACAGTGCAACAGATATACCATGACGAGGCCACGGTGCTCGTTATCAATGCCTTAGTAAACAAGTGATTAGTTAAAACATAAGGCATAAAGTATAACAATTGAGACCTGTCACATTTCATCCCAGATCAGTAATTAGATTCCTGCGGTGCCGGTGCATGAATTTGTCTGTTATTGCACTACTTGAAAAAGAGGAAAGTAGAAACACGATCAGAAAATACAATTTTGGTTGATAATGAGAAGTTGGCAAGGTTTTGTTTAAACCGGCCTGGTCTTTCACTGGCTGCGTGAAAGCAATGACACCATATTTTTATTTTGACCGTTTTTGTGTTCTCATTGGTGATACTTATACTGTTGTACAGGGTTGTAAACTTTAACATATTTGCTATGCGATGGTTTAAAAATGGTCCCTCATTTCTAATACCAGTTATCTTACTACACCGTTCAACAGCAGTCCTCCCTGGGTCCACTAATTCCCGCTGATTTTGCATATGTGATGTGCAGTCCTCTCTGACTTGCCCCTTTTCTGATCTCTCTCTGTATGGCCCACTTATTTTCCCCTCATGGTGGAAATCCACAAATCAATCTGTATGCCAGAAGGTCTGAAGTTCTGTTTCCCATCAGATCTGTTTGTTTGATTAGTTTAAGCTTGTGCTTCGATAGTTTATTTGTTTATTTGAGAGCACACAAGCTGCAGCTGCTGTTTTCTCAATGTAAACACAGGACAGCGATGTAGCTTGCTGTCGCCCGCGCCTACCTTGTGTTCCCAGAGCTTGCCATGTGTGACTTGTTGGTGACGGCTGATGGATTTGGAAGGCACATATTGCGAATGTGGCACATGGCCACGCGACAGGGATAGACTGGCAGTGTGATTTGGGTGCGGCAGTGCCAGTGGGGTGTGGATTAGCATTGGAGGTGTGGCAGTGCGATTTCGTGGGTAGTTAGCCAGATTGGGAAGTGCAGGCAGCGTGAATTGTTGCGCTGGTGGGGATTGAGTGCAGCAGGCAGCAAAGGAATGGGGAATGCGAAGCTGATGGTGAGAGAGGAGAGAATAATGGGAAGGCTGAGGTCAGCTGCTAGAAGCCACACCCACATCAGATCCTAGTCCATTGCCACTTGTGCAAAAACAGCTGATATCAAGGGAAAGGTCTTTTGTCGTTTGGTTTTGAGAGGCAGGGACCAAAGATAAACGTGATAGATGATGGACCATTTTTAAACCGATCAAAGAGTTGCGGGGACTAAAATTGGACCATTTCCTTTGTTTATTTCCTTCACTAATTATTTGTGCATCACTGATGAGGTTAATGGTATAGGAACATTTTCATCGAGGCAAGTCACACTCGATACTGTTGAGATATTTACTACTCATGAATGGTTTGGCAAGCCAACAGTGGTTTTCCGGTGCAATGGAGAGAACAAAACAGATTTGCCAGATGTGAAAGAGGCACACACACTATATACCTTTAAGGGTGAAGAATCATGGCAGGTAAGCCAAATTGTTGGTGTAGTACTTAAAATTGTTCATCAGTTTGTCACTACTCATTGTTTTGTTAGCATCATACATTGAATTGTGCAATTTTGGCAGCCCTTGACAGAGCTTCCAGAAAAGAAATGCAAGCGATGTGGTTTGTATGAGGAGGACCCATTTAAACCTGATGATGTCTTTGATGAATGGGAGATGTGTTCGAGTGATTTCAAGGGTGGAAAATACACCCGGTTTAAGGGAGGCCAGTTCAATGCAACATTCTTATGTCCAAACTGCACTGCCTCAACTGGTACTGCTGATATCCAATACCTATTCCTTTCTGTTTGTTTAGACATTTTTCCTATGAGCTAGCTGGATTTACCGTTGCTTTTTGATAGTCTAAGGTAATTCTTTGCAGCTTGTTTTAATTTGGTTATGAGTAGTCTAGATTCATGGATAACGCCTTTGCAGCATCTTTGATGATGAAATTTCCCTGTTAAATTGATAGTACTTAATAATGTCAAAGAAATGCCTTGTGTCTTTGTTCTACATTGCCTTTGCTCAAGATGTTTCTTTCATGCCAGGACATGGAAACAGTGAACCTAGCGAAGTTTTGGAAACTAAGAAGACATCTGTTGCTGCCATCATAATAGTTAGTGTTCTTGCTTCAGTCCTTGTCATCATTGCCTTGTTTGGGGGCTACAAGTACTGGCAGAAGAAGAAGAGGGAGCGAGACCAGGCACGATTCCTCAAGCTCTTTGAAGAGGGAGATGACCTTGAAGATGAACTGGGCCTTAGCAATGAACTCTAAAATAGTTCGTACAGTCTTACTTCCGATGTTTTGAGATGTAGTTTCCACGATGATGTATAGAATGTGCAATTTTTCACTTAGAAATTTTGTAGTGTAGTTTATAAAGAAATGGTTCCAACAAAACTATGATTCAGTTAAATATCTGTTTCTGGTGACCTCCTCGTAGCTTTTCCGGAGGGAGTGAATCTTGCAACAGTTTGCGGTATCCCCGCCACGTACATATAAGAGTGCAAAAATGAATGAATTCGCGTTTCCCTTTCCCTGTCAGCTTGCCATGCTTATCCAAGTAGCCGCTGGTGACGAGCTCAGCAACAACATTCTCCAGTGATGGCGCCACTGGTGGGTCAAGAAGCTCGAAGCCTGGCATGCCATCAGCAGCGTGTCTCTTGAGCATCAGCGCCAGCTTGTTGAGCGCACCACAAAGGTCCAGTGCCCCATGTAGAGCCGGTGGCAGTGCCCCACAAAGGCGGCGCCGGCCACCGCTGCCCGCCTGATTGCCGCCTCCTTGGAGACCATCGCAAGCGGGTCCTCTGACAGCACGCCGGTGTCGACGACGTACGTGATCCCGGGGACCAGAACAGCCGTCTCGGCCACGTCCGTCGCCAGCACGACTTTCCTCGATCCACCTGGCGCAGGGTCCAGTGCGTGGTCCATGAACTCTTTCGGGAGGTTGTCGTGGATGAGGCAGAGGACCAGCCCTGGCAGGTCGAGCTGCTCCAGCTTCTCGTAGGCCTCCAGGATGCGGATGATATCCGGCAAGAACACGAGCACGTCGCCGGGCGGCTTCGACCTGTGGATGTCCCTCACCTCCTCGACCACCGCGCTCACCATGTCGAGCATGGGCCCCCGCGAGTAGTGCACCGCGACGGGGTGCACCGCGCGCTGGAACGCGACGATCGGCGCGCCGAAGAAGAAGTCGCTGAGCGAGCTGTCTTCCGGTCCGCCGGCGGTGCAGACGACCACGTTGAGGTGCCCCATTTCCTCCGTCGCCACGGCGGCCTTGACTACCCCGAGGAGGAGGTTGGTGCAGAGCGTGCGGTCGTGTGCCTCGTCGACGACGATCGTGCGGAACGCCGCCAGGAAGGCCGGCCTCCTGTTGCAGCACAACATGTCGATGAGCACCCGGGTGGTCGTGAACCAGACGTCGTCGGACTCCCGCTCCTGTCCGGGTTTCGATGAGGCCACGGTCACCGCGAGGAGCCGAGGCTGCGCGGAGATGACCGGGCCGAAGCCATAGTTGGCGAGGTATCGGGGGAGCACCGTGGACTTGCCGGAGCCTGGCGCCGCGGAGATAACGACAATCCTATAGTTTTGGTGATAATAGAGGATTGTACCAATGTGGTAAGAGATCGCCGGTGCCTGGAGCTCGGGTTCCTGCGGAACGCCGGTTGCCATGGCCTGAAAGTTGCAGGAGGCGACGGCACGACGAACACACGGTCTGCGCGCCACCCAGCAGTTTTGTAGAGAGGATTGAGAATCGGAACACGACCGAACGAGATGTGGAGTCGCAGTCAGGCTGTGTTTCCTAGTCGGTGCCGGGCCGAATCCGACATGTGGTCGCATCATGAAATCACAGTCCTTTAGATAAATTTGGCCTGGGCCAGGCGTATACAACACAAGCTGTGGTCTGACATCTGACCCAATAGTTAGTGCCTGTTTAGTTTCTAAAATTTTACAAAATTTTTCAAGATTTTCTGTCATATCGAATCTTTGGACGCATGCATGAAGCATTAAATATAAATAAAAAATAAAACTAATTACATAGTTTAGACGAAATTCACGAGACGAATCTTTTAAGCCTAATTAGACTATGATTGGACAGTAATTACCAAATAATAACAAAAATGCTACCGTACAATTTCCCAAAAAATTTCGTCAACTAAACAAGGCCTTAGCCCAACAGGCCGACAGCATGGGGAACGAGGAAAAGGCAAACTAAACATGATTTGAAATTGCTAGTACAATTCTTCGAGTGTCAAAAAAGATGATCGAGCAAAATATATTATCAAAATGTTAATTGTGGCTTTTATACCAGCTTTTAAGATTTTATTTTCCTGGTGTTACTTCTGCGAAGTGGTTGTTAACTCGCTAACATAAAAGTGACACTAGGGGAAGAAAAAAATTTAAAGAGAGTATAGAAGGTAGTGGCATCATTGGCAAGATAGTTGCAGAACAAATAAATTCATAATGTTTTCAGATGTAGTCGCATGAAAACAAATTTATATGAAAATTATAGAGATTAATAGGATCAGAAAACTTTGTAGTTGACAACTTTTTCATTTAAGATCGTTTATGAGCCTACATATATACTCCCTCCATCCTGAAATACTGCGTTATAACTTCTAAAGTTTGTACTGAATGTAATACAATCTATGTGGTGCCCATGCTCAGATTGAGCAAAGTTATTAAAAATAAAACCATAATTTAAGGAGAAACTTCTTAATTGGGTTTAATCCATGGGTACATATGTCATTTGAGTGTTTTCTTAAGTTGTCTTAAAATTTTAGGAATGCATTGCATTGCAGGATGAAGGGAGCATACTAAGGGTCCGTTTAGATGTCACCCAAAAGCCAAAAAATTTTGCATAGTACCCGTCACATCGAATATTGCGGCACATGCATGGAGTACTAAATGTAGACGAAAAAAAAACTAATTGCACAGTTGGGTGAGAAATCGCGAGACGAACCTTTCGAACCTAATTAGTCCATAATTAGACACTAATTGCCAAATAAAAACGAAAGTGCTACAGTGGCTAAAATCCAAAAAAAATTTGGATCTAAACGGGGCCTAAGTAAACTTTAAAAATAAAAGTGAAAGGGATGCTCGATAATGGGCTTGAAATTATTTATACCAGCTAGTACATCCCTAAACTAACCGTCTAAAGTAGTAAACTTTGAATTTTTTATAGATAAAAAAAGGAATTAGCCTACCAAGGATTTCTAAACCAAAATTATAATGACAATCAATGATAGTACTTTTACGCCCAGTAACCAAACTAGACCAAACTGAAGACTAACTCAACATATAAGGTTTGCTGATTGCTACTTTTTAGAACATCCTCTTAGCCTTTAGTTGAGCTACCAAACTATTTTAGTTTTGTCTATTAATGCTATTGTGAAGTATTAAATTGTCAAATGAACATGGTATACATATATTTGTCTAAATTAAAGATACTTCACTTTTTAAACAAGGAACTACAGTTGTTATTGGTAGTCAGGGCTTACTCAATACTGACAAGAAATCATCTTGTTATGATTGTCTTTATATGTTTGAGATGTGAAAAAATATTAGCAATATTCACAAAAAAATATTCTCTAACATGGGGTATGGTGTTTCATTCAAAAAAATCAACCTAGACATAACTTATTCTAGGAGAAAAAAAAAAAAGGACAAACTTTCAGGAGAAACAGAAAAAGGACAAACTTTTGTTAGTGGTAACTGGTAAGGTTACCCAATTTATATGTAACTCGACGAATTTTGTATGGGGGGTTAAGCAGAGAAATTAAACAGTTGGAAGTAGTGACTATTCAAAGGACTAAATGAATATGTGGTCATGCTCTTTTGTAATCGAGCACTCACAGTGCTAAATAGATCAACAACTTAAGTTCACTGATTGAGCAACATCCCTTTCACTCTTTATCGGTAACGAGAATAATACTTTTTCACAAGAATATGTCCTTCCAGTTTGCAAAACAAGTTTAATGAATTAGTTTTAACCTGTGACACTAGAGTCTTAACAACTTTTACTTGCATGATACTGGATCTTATCTTTAATCAGCATCACTTGACTATGTTTGCAAAGAAACTAAACTTCCTTGGTTCCTTATTCTATCTAGATCAGTAAGGGGAGTATGGTAGGTATGTCCTAATTGTTCTACCTTTTCAAAATCCTTGCGAAACCATTAGGAATGGAATAGCAGGATAGATCCCATATCCATGGACAAGTAAAATATTTGGTCTCAAACAAGATACCCATTGCCAAGTTACAATTTCCTAAGCCATTGCAAGAAAAATCAGCATTCAGCAATATTAAACAAAGTACTACAGAAAACCACTAAACTAATAAAAGAAACATACAAATGATAGGGAAGACATCTAACTAAACAAACAGTTATGAAAGAATTGTGCACGTCCAGAGAATATATTGAACTTACATGCTGAAGTACTCTTTGTTATAGTTGTTTTGCTTAAGTAGGAGTGTAGTTCATAGGCTTCCTCTATGTGACAAAGCATATGTCCCCATCAAGATCACTCTCAGAAGCTTCGTTGGCGTGGGGCCTCTCACCTTTCTTTGGGAAAACCAAGCAATCAACAAGGTGATGCAGTTCATGCACATCAACTGCTTCAAGAACACGGACACCCCCCCGGATGAAGGCATGGGTTCTTTGCAACCACGACTGTACCTACAATTATCTCTACATTCTTGTTTTGAAAGTGCATTTGCCTCCGTTGTGGGTTTTTGTGGCAGAACCGCCTAATCTAATGCCTCCCAGGAGTACTTGTCTTTCATTAGACACTAAGTTTCCAAGAAAGGACACTAAACTACGCAGTTTCATCGAGCACACCCCAAGGGAGAACTTGAAAATCCATATTTTTTCATCAGGATCATAAATGAGAGAATAAAGCTTATAATATTTTGAAGTCATTTCTTACATCACTTTATTTCAGTAGTAGAATATTACCTCAATTAATTATAACAGCGGAATCTAACAATGTTCTCAGAGTTACAGAGGAAGCAAAGATTAATTTAATGACATGGTGGAGCTTTAACATAGTGGATATTTATATACAAGAGATGCTAACAGATTTTACATCTTTCTTAAATAAACACTACGGTCGTAGCATGAAAGGAATCCTCTCTGAGCCCATCAGGAGGTTTCCACACACAAGAGTTAGCTCTAAGTATCCTCCGATCACCTGCAACAGGGGAATAAAACCCTAAGTACTCGATTGTTGTTAGGTTCATAAACCCAGGGTCCCTCATGGACCGACTTCCCAGCAAAAAGGCTCGGCGAAGCAGACAACGTTGTGAACGACGCGCAACTCTTGGGCCGGCCCAAACACCTAAATGACAGGCCAGAAGGACGATCCAATCTCCGACCGGAAAGGCCTGGCCGAGGAGGAACGGCACCCGCTTCCGACTCCGGGCCCCCTCTTCGATCGGAGCACTCGCTTCCGGCTTTGGCCCACCTCCGGACGGCCTCTCCAAACGGAAGGTCTGTCCCATCACCATTTTCGACTCCGACCCACGCCTCCGAACGGGGATACGCCAAACCCCTGCTTACACCTCTTCTTCGACTGGCACAATTAGAGCTGACTAGGACCAACCGACCGGGGATGCCCACTCGGTGAGGACCAGGAAACGGACAGAGAAAGTAAGGCAGAGCACTCAAGTCAACCACAATACCAAGGACCGTACCCTGTACACCTGCAGGACAGTTCCCTACGACCTCCCTGGCATGACAGAACCCAAATAGTGTTGTAGGCGCCGATTTTTTCCTCTATAATATTGTGGGCGCCATCAACTCCCATACCAGACAAATACGGTAAGGCTCATCCCCACGTGCCTCTGAGGCATCAACAGTGTTGTGGGCGCTGGCATTTACCATACCAGGCGAACATGGTAAAACCCTTGCATGCCTCTGGATATCAGCAGTGTGGCAGGCACCGACGTCTGCCATACCTGAAGAAGACGACGCAACCTCCCACGTGCATCTAACATTAAACAGTTTTGTGGGCGCCTACCATCATCTTGTACCCGCTGGCATGGGCAGCAAGACTTACCAGCATACGTACTTTCTCCCTCTCACTTGTAAGGCCATCCCCTTCATCAATAAAAGGGGGTGCGCTCTCTTCCAACAGAGAGATCGATCAGTTCGCTTGTATTGAATCACCCTCTGTAGCTTTAGACACTCTAAGGTTATACTGAGCACACGCTTGAACACTTAGCACATAGCGAGGCTCCCGTCACTCTCGGTCCTTCAGACCAGAGTCCGACTGAACCTCTTGTACCCCCCATCTTTCTCTCTTTCGTTTGTAACCCTACAGCAAACCTCGAGCACCTGGGCTCAGGAATAAAGTCACCGACTAACTTAAAGTGGACGTAGGGCACGTTGCCTGAACCAGTATAAACCATGTGTCATTGAGTGCTAGGCCACCTCCGATCACAACGTACAGCAAAACTACAAATATTTACGTGTTGGTCACTTTCTGCACCGATAATTGTACTCATCAAGACTTACCCGACAGGAGGAAAATAAAAAGACTCCAAGGATATGCAAGGCTATATGGCTTGTGGGTTATTGCATCTGTAGAAGCATTACTAAACGTGTGTCCTTATATTCAACTTCATTAGTAGTCATCATTAGTTCATTAACTAACCATTCTATGTAAGC